AGGGGGAGAGGCTGTGTGCTGATTGCCAGGGGTGGGGTGGGGTAGCTGGCCTGTGGGGTGTACCCTTTGGTTATTTGATGATCCATGGAGGGGATTGTGATCATTGCAATGAGACAAAATACGATAGGATGAATGCAAAACTGATGTTCTCCCACGTAAAACCACATAATTCACAATAAAAACATAAAAAATACACACACACACACAATAAAACAACCCAACATCCTAGTATATAGGTACTAACTAGGCTAAATGTCACATCCCAAATGGAACAAGGTACCCATAAAGTATCTTCAGCATACATCAATACAACTATTACAGAGCAACTCTAAAATTCTCCACAAGCCCCCACATCCTCACAACCCCTGTGAATACAGAGTGACCAAGTACAGATGGTACAGACTTCAAAGTTAGAACTTGTCTTGGGTCCACCACTAACAAGTATTAGATTTCATATAAGCTTCTTCATCTCTGAGACATTTTCCTTTTCTATAAAAATGAACATTGTCTACCGGGTGTGATGCTGTGGGATAATGTACTGACCACAAGGTCAGTTTGAACCACAAGACTGGCAGTTCAAATTCACCCGCTGCTCCTCGGAAGCCCTATTCAGATTTGCTATGAGCTGGAACTGATTCAACAGCACTTAACAACAACACCTCAATGAGTTGTTGTGGAGACTGAATAAGATAAAGTCTATCACTTCATGTCTAAATCTTGTTATTATTACTAGTATCATTACTACCAGCTGTCATCATGTTGACTATGATTCATGGTGACTGCGTGTATGTTTTCAATAACTGAATTTTCAGAAGTAAATGACTAGACTTTCTTCTAAGGAGCCTCAGAATAGGCTAAACTGGACTGGAATCTCCAACCTATTGGTTAGCAGCTGAGAGCATTAACTGTACCTTCCAGGACTCCATCATTACTAAATGTTACTTAAGTTCTTTACAGTATCTTATCTGGATAGGAAATTCTGGTAGCGTAGGCAATTGTGAGCGTTGGTGGCACTGTAGGTTAAGCATTGAGCTGCTACTGCACTATCAGTGACTCAAATTCACCAACCACTCCTCAGGAAAAAGATGAGGCTGTCTGCTCCCATAAAGATTTAGTCACAGAAATCCTACGTAATAGCTCCACTCTGTCCTTACTGGGTCACTGTGCTTTGGAATTGACTCGATGGCAGTGAGTTTTTTATTAGGGATATAACAGAGGTTGCTGGTTTGGAAATCAATGAGAAATACATTCCAAATGTGTTAGCAATAACAATAAAATATATAGGACATCACATTACGATGATACTAAGAAGTGATTCCCAAATGGGACTGTGTTTGTGAAATGCCATAATGCTAAGTAACACTTAAATTTCATATACTATGAGATACAAAGAAACCCTGATGGTGCTTTCCACTAAGCACTGGACTGCTAACTGCTAGGCTGACAGTTCAAACCACCAACTGCTCTCTAGGAAACTTACATAAAGATTTAAATAAATCCCATGAAGATTTATAGCCTTGGAAACCCTATAAAAAGTTATTATGACTTGGAACTGAATTCAATGGCACTTAATAACAGCAATGTGAAAGACATTGTTCAAAGTACTTTATACAAATAAACTCATTTAGTTGTCGTAGCAACCATATCAGGTAGTAGGTACAAGCATTCATTCTATTTTTACAAATGAGGAAACTGAAGCAAAAGTAATTCATTGAAGGTCTACAGCTAGTAAGTGGTAGACCACTCGAGGTAAAACTTAGGGTGGCTGGCTCCAATGCCAGCACTTAGGATACAATATCCTCTTCATCAGAGGTAGGTCTAATGGGTTAGTATTTGCTGTTCTCAAAGTTCTTTAGGACTGTACCAAAAAAATTATAATATGCGTACAAGTGATTTATTATTTATTATGAAGTCTAAAAGAAACATAAGTCCTTTTTATAGTTAATGATAATGGTTTATGAAATATTGATATTATTTGTAGTAGGAAACATTAAGGAGCTTTGATCTGGTGCTGTCTTAACAGTTACTTCCTGTTTAGCTGTCTCAGCAAGTACTTCTTGCCTAGTGAAGTCACATTTAAATATACGTAGACATATTCAAGGATTAGTGTGAACACTAAATGGGATACTGAGCATCAAGATCTTAGTAGAGCCACAAAAAATATAAAATATATTA